GTATAAATTTGTTACTACTGAAAATAACTGAAAATATATCTTAAAAAGTCTTATTTCCATAAACTATAGCAAAATGTATCCCCTCCCCAGGAGTAAATGTGCAACAATTGATAAAAAGCTTAAGATATACACCTCATATACATCAGGTATACACCTTTTATAAATCAAATATACACACCTTCTCTACTACAAATATAAACCTCCCATATATTACCTATACATCCATCATCAGCTCCAATAAGTCAGATATCAACTATACACCAGGCATACACCTTCTAAACATCAGGTATACACCTCCTATACATCAGGTATACACCTTCTAAACATCCGGTATACACCTTCTATAAATCAAATATATACACCTTCTCTACTACAAATATAAACCTCCCATATATTACCTATACATCCATCATCAGCTCCAATAAGTCAGCTATCAACTATACATCAGGTATATACCTCCTATTGAACAGGTATACACCTCCCATAGATCAGGTATACATATCCTATATATCCTATACATCAGGTATACACCTCCTATAGATCAGGTATACATATCCTATAGATCCTATACATCAGATATACACCTCCCATACATCAGGTATTTACCTCCTATAGATCAGGTATACACCTCCCATAGATCAGGTATACACCTCCCATACATCAGGTATACACCTCCCATACATCAGGTATACACCTCCCATACATCAGGTATACACCTCAGATATACATATCCTATACATCAGAAGTAAGTCCACACTGTTGGAATTACTTCTTTGCCCCATATCCTATACATCAGGTATACACCTCCCATACATCAAGTATACATATATCCTATAGATCAGATACATATCCTATAGATCAGGTATACACACCTCCTATAGATCAGGTATACACACCTCCCATGTGATACATCAGGTTACACATTTTATGCATCAGGTATACACCTTCTATACATTAGATTAATATTACACCTATACATCAAGTATGCATGCACATATACATGAGGTATATGTCAGGTCCATATTCTCTGTAGGTAAGGTCACTACCTCATCTTTATAATAGTTGTCTTATTAGTTCATATTGATTGCATGCACAGGAAATATAATATATTTGCTTGTGCTGGAGCTTCCCAATTATGTTCCCTTATTGTGGCCTCTCTAGAACAAGAAGCACAGGTGCATTAATTATTAATAACTCAACTGGATTTTTATTTTTCATTAAAAGTTGTTGATTACCTCTAACCATACAAGAAATATCAGCTGGGGGATGTTTTTTTTAGACCTGAGATATGCTACAATTTTGGCAATTTTGTCTTATTTTTCTCTTTACCGGAAAACATACCATGTATAACTTTGTATCATGTACATTGTATTTTCTGGAAAATGAGTAGACACTATATATAATAGAGATGATAAATATGGTACCTTATGTAATGAGGCTGTATTTGGAGGATTCCCTTACACAATAAATAATGAAGCTTTATGAGGTAAATCCATTAACAAATTTCAGCAAGTAGATGATATACATGTATATTTGAAAACTGTCTCGGGATATATTTCAAATACATAACTAATTATAGAAACAGTATACAAAATATGTAAAGATAGTATTATGTGTTTATAGTATATATTTAATATATATATAAAACAAGGCAAAGTATTATGTGTAAGGCAATCCATAGTCTCCCTAAGGTAATGATTTCTTTATTTAACAAACAGTACCTATCATGTCAGAATGTATCTACTGTTAGGAAAGTATCCTGATACATACTTCTTGCACTCCTCCATCCCAAGAAATAGATGTTCTTGCACACCAAATCTGGTTACTCCAGGTGAAAAAGTACAGAAGTACAGAGTGCAAACCTATAATCCCCCGGGAACCAGTGGGGGACTAAAATGTGTATATAGAATATATGAAAGTGGTAAACTTTTTATATACTCTGTATACTCCTTTGTACACCACTTTTTCTTTACTATGTACAGCCATATAACACTCTCCGTATACTCTGTTTATCACTCATTTATACTCTGAATACAACTCTCTATGCTCTGTATACCACTCTTAATATACTATGTAGGCCAATATACTGTATACTGTATACCACTTTATATACTATGTTACAAGACCAATCCTTATATACCCTGCATATCACTCTTTATAAGCTGTATACCACTCCTTACATACTCTGTATACCACTCTTCTGATATACTGTATACCACTCTATGTATACACTGTGCATACCACTCTATATATACTGTGTATACCACTCCTTATATACTGTGAGTAACACTCAATATATACATTTATACCACTCCTTATATTCTGTGTAAACCACTCTATATGCTGTGTTTACCACTTCTTACATATACTGTATACCACTCTTTCTGTATTATATAGACAAATTATAATATACCCTGTATACCACTCTATGTACACCATGCATATCACTCTTTATATACTCTGTATACCACCCTGTGTACTCTGTAAACCACTTTTTATGTACCCTGTATACCACTCTCTATATACCATTATTTATATACTTTGTATACCACTCTCTGTATACTATGCATATCACTCTTTATATACTCTGTAAACCACTTCTTATATACTATCATTATATAACCTTCTCAATATTTCTTTGTAAAGACATCTTTGTTATATTTTATAATAAACAAGAAGCACTGAGTTAGGACCAGTCTCCTGGCAAAATCCTAACAAAAGTGTATCCAAATTATGATGCTCAGCAATATATATACTACTACAGACAGGTATTACACATGTATATATTATCACAGACATGTATTATAGATATAACACATGCAATTACTTACTACAGAGAGGTTCCAATATATATTGCTATCGTTGTTTTTGGGGAGGGGGTTAAATGGAAAATAGTTTTATTTATTTATTTATTTTCTCATTATATAAATATCTGTTTTACCATGATATCTTATATTTGAATGGTAATAAAGTGCATGCTGTTACCATGTATCTGGCTTGTGTGAAATGCCTTTAAGGTCACAAAATAGAGTTGTATCTCTAAAAAATATATCAAGTGATAAATATCTCGAAGACTTTAAAGAACATGCACCTGATGATGAAATATCACTGATCTGTATATATGTATTAAATAATGAAATATTACTTCTTGTCTGTGATAGTACAAGTAAATACAAGTTTATAACCAGTTTGAAACAATGAATTTATGTTCCTTACATGACAATTGCAATGTATTGATGATAGAACATAGAATTACAAATACATCAGTATGTTCCTTTAATGTCTGTGATAGTTAAAACAATTTTATCTGAAGCAATATAATTCAAGATCCATAGCCTGTCTGTGATAATAAATACAGGTGTATGACCAGTCTGCAATAGTAAATAAAAAAAAATGTTCCTATGTCTGTGATAAGCAGCCTGAAAAATAAATAAATGTTCCTAATATGTTTGTTATAGTTAATACAAGTTTATAAGCAGCCTGAAACAATTAATAAATGTTCCTAATACGTTTGTTATAGTTAATATAAGTTTATAACCAGTCTGAAACAATTAATAAATGTCCATAACCTGTCTGTGAATTTGTACGGGTAATAATACAATTTTATCAAATTACTTTTAAAACATTAAATCCGTGAAGAAAATAAAGATAAAACATTTTAATGACTAAATTGTAAGTTATGCATGCAGTATGATCGCTTTCCCCCCCATCTTCTACTTTATAATGCTTAACCTTTTAAAGTAATGTTAATACCGCTATAACCAGACGTATATTTGGTGGCATTAAACTCCTACTTTGACTTTCACATACTTCATTTCCGGTTAAGAAATACTGAGGCTTCCAATTTAATGCTTTACCGTGCACAGCTCCCGTTTATAACATTCAGCGACGCGCGAGATGGGCGGAGCTTGCTACCGAAATCGGAGGCGACGCACGAGGTGGGCAGAGCTTGCTACCGAACTCGGAAGCATTTGGCTCCATTGCTATCAAAGGGGTAGTTGGGACGTGAAGCTATACAGCTTATGGTTTACAAATATTGTCTAGTCAAAACTATCTTTGCAGTGTGTATCGGTATAATAAAACGGTTAAAGTATGGGGTTGAGGGATATAGCAAGTTTCTGGTGTCCCTTGACCATGCCTATTTCCCTCGGCTTCGCCTCGGGAAATATACCTGGTCTCGGGACACCAGAAACTTGCTATATCCCTCAACCCCATACTTTTACTGTATAATAAGAACATTTTTGTCTGAAAAGTGACTTTTCAGCACAGACTTTTTGTGCACACGCAGCCTTGAATACTGTTATTATGATTAATTAAAAAAAACACCTTTAAATGTATCTGAAGATATAATATAGTTTCAGACCAATTTAATAATATTTTTAACAAGCTGTTTCAACAACGACCGTAATTTACAATACGTTCATTATATCTAGTTTTTAGTAAAACAAATGAGCCCCAAACTAATTTTCCACGCTGATGAAATGCCTTTTGTCAAGTTTAAAACTTTACATTGACCGTACTCTCATCTTTAACATATAACAGGTATAGCTGCGATGACGTAGCTCTGGACGACGGACGGACGATTTCTGCCGGAGCGGAGAGTAGGCAGGGTATGAATATTCGTTCCGTATAACAGGTAGATCACATCTCTGATGCGGTGACCTTAGTCCGCTAAAACTGACCATAAACAGGCGACCGATCAGAATTTTTTGAGCCTGCGATTATGGTCAGTTTTAGCGGACTACGGTGACCTGTGATGATACAAACAATGTGAGTCATATAAAAAACAATGAAGGGCCGCGCTTTAATATGAAACAGCTTCACTTTACAGAATAGGTGAAGGAGCGCTAACCATGGAATGTCAAGAATGTATGTAAGCATGCCCCACCTTATCACAATGCGATAGCGGAAGTACGGTGCATTGAAGACATATATAAATACAAATTAAATTTGAACAGTAAAAAACAGTTGTCTTAGACAACAAACGGCGTTGTACTTACATGTGTCACACCTATGGGAATTGACACCATGAATCCACAGATAAATGTACAACAGTACAACACTGTCTGCACGAGAAGATGGAGGTCGACGATCGCCATTCTGGCAACAGGACAACCAAGCAGGCCGTACAATCAGGAATGTAAACCAGCTTTTTGGTTTCAAGATGACCGCAATGTATCAAAACTTGCTTGCCTCGGCCAATTTATTCGTACTGGCACATGTGATACTTCCACTGAGCGTGTGGGTATTTTTACATTATTGGGAAAACCGTGATCGGTTCACTGAACAGGTGTGTAAAGTGAACTCGGGGTCAGGGACTGAACTATTGTTTTCTTATTAAAGTGTGACATCGATATATATACACGGTGTAGAAAATACAACATTTTTTAACTAAGATCAATTACTTATCCGGTCATCATATCATGTTTTATCAGACATATATAAAATCGATAAAATCAGTATGCACATGGAGTAAATTAAGCTTGGTGTTTAAAGGTTGTAAACCTCCTAATGCATGAGGTACATTGATACATTAAACATATTGATACATAGAATATTTGAGTTGAGATACGTTGAAATAGTGCCACTGAAATAATGCATGTTTTTATAAAATACATATAGATTTATAAAATTCTTAAATCTATATACATTGATGTATAAGTGGCACTGAGATACATGTTAGTAAATATACTAAACGCATCAATAAACACAACAGATGTTTTATGTTTTATGTTTTAAAAAGGAGTGAATTTAAAAAAAAAAAATGAAAGACACAATTTTTGGCAAAATAATGTCAATAAAAATGATACTGCCATAGATTAGTATTGCATTAATGTATATCAATTTAATAAATGTTGAAATTGTGTAAAATAAATGATCTATAAACGATTAAAAATGGACGCTTTATAATAAAACCATATGCACATAATACTTTGCATGGAAGAGTTATCTTTCTTGAAAAACTTCACAGTAGAGAAATAGGAAGCCGGTTTCCTGAAGTACAGAAAAATGGACACATTTGACTCATTGATAAAAAAAAACAACCTGAATTAATGCCTGGATTGCTTTAAAATACTTTAATATTGAGAGAACAAACTGTTCTGTCAATAATAAACATACAATATTTATCAGTTTCATATTAAACATTAGAATATGCGGAAATTGTGATACTGTCTCCCTACATTGGATTTTCAACTAGGGATGTACTTCCTATTTCCGTTTATCAATACACTCCTATGGCCTTAAACCCTGTCAAGCTTACCACGAAGGTGACTAACTAGTTTTCGTAAATCTGTCAAATGCTGACTTCATGTGTTGACGAGCGCTGTCCATAGAGTGGATTTGATTGATTGAAATAAACATCTGGCATAAATCATGACGTTAGTGTTAAGTGGCTGGTGAACTTTAAAAAAAATCCTTCCAAAATAGATCCAGGTTAGGTAGGTAAATTACAATGCAATATATACATCACGTGACAAATGTTACCGCGCGCAAAAGATCGATCACCTTGCTTATCGATATCGAATGGACTCTGAGGTAGACAAAAAAATGCGTTACATTTTGCTTGGCAGAATAGATATAATCAATATATGTTTGTAAATTATGGTGGAATACATAAATCGGGATTCGAAAATGATTAAAAAATAATCAACTCAAACTGCAAACGACCTTCATTAATAATTTTCCCCAATAATTCTAACAAAACGTAGATTGCACCAGAGCACTTCCAGATTTCATTTTTATCAAGGGATCACACCCCAAATGCCCTAAGAGGGTTTTCGCACACAGGCTTATAAATAGAAATCTGTTCGGGACACGCACCTCAGTTATCAAACCCGAGTTGCCTCCCTTTTACTAGTAGTTATCTGTTGCGATCGGTTTCAATATAACTCATTCCCAAAATAACTACGATTCACAAAACGACATTTCCATAAACGTTAGGTATGATCCAAAATCAACCGGAAGTATGATGTAGCAACTTTCAAAACTGATTGCAATTGGCATATCTAGAAACTGGTATTCCTGCTTCGGTTTTTACTTATTATAAGAAGATATTGTTATTGAATAAGACGATATCTCGTGTATGAATAACGAAACTACGATGACATAATACGAACAAGATTACAACAAAATAAGCATCACAACGGTGTTTAAAAAACACAAAGGGATTTATTGATATTTTCATTACAAAGATCATGACAATTGATAATTGTGAATTCACTTTTAAAATAGATGAGCATTTATTGAGGGAAGATTTTAAATACAAACAGGTGACGATGGTCCATTTCTCCATCACGTGCACTGACGTTTTTTCTGCCGGTAGATTCTCCTTTTTGACGTAAGAATATGTTTAGGGAAGGCCCATTGTTAATATGCATACGACTGTAAATTCAACGTTCTGTTAAAAGTTAAGTAAAAGTAATTAAACTTGATTATTTTACGCCATTGGTACACGTTTTAGCGCAAAACAAAGTTTCATTTGAGAAACTGATTTTGTTGTGCACTGACTTCTGTTGCTGAACGAGAAATGTCTCCGAATCACACAATAGCTTTCAATGTGCCCAAAAGTATCATAACTTACATTTCTTAACCGAATAAATTTCAGGATTCTTAAAAAAACGTGAGTCCACTACACTACAGTATGTGATAAATTATGAAATATAATAAAATTCTTTTAGTTGAATGTTATAACCTATTTGTTGACAAGCTTATTTCAACCTGTCTAGAGAATATCAAAGATCCTGAAGGTAAGCACTTGTTCACTTCATCTTTAGTGTGATAAATGATCAGACCTAATCTAATAATTACAAGACTAATATTTTAGTTTACGTCTAACTAATCAGCTACATAGTTGTCAGAGCTCCATTGTATACATGTTATATAACTAATCAGCTACGTAGTTGTCGGAGCTCCATTATATACATGTTATATAACTAATCAGCTACGTAGTTGTTGTAACTCCATTGTATACATGTTATATAACTAATCAGCTACGTAGTTGTCGGAGCTCCATTGTATACATGTTATATAACTAATCAGCTACGTAGTTGTCGGAGCTCCATTGTATACATGTTATATAACTAATCAGCTACGTAGTTGTCGGAGCTCCATTGTATACATGTTATATAACTAATCAGCTACGTAGTTGTCGGAGCTCCATTGTATACATGTTATATAACTAATCAGCTACGTAGTTGTCGGAGCTCCATTGTATACATGTTATATAACTAATCAGCTACGTAGTTGTCGGAGCTCCATTGTATACATGTTATATAACTAATCAGCTACGTAGTTGTCGGAGCTCCATTGTATACATGTTATATAACTAATCAGCTACGTAGTTGTCGGAGCTCCATTGTATACATGTTATATAACTAATCAGCTACGTAGTTGTCGGAGCTCCATTGTATACATGTTATATAACTAATCAGCTACGTAGTTGTCGGAGCTCCATTGTATACATGTTATATAACTAATCAGCTACGTAGTTGTCGGAGCTCCATTGTATACATGTTATATAACTAATCAGCTACGTAGTTGTCGGAGCTCCATTGTATACATGTTATATAACTAATCAGCTACGTAGTTGTCGGAGCTCCATTGTATACATGTTATATAACTAATCAGCTACGTAGTTGTCGGAGCTCCATTGTATACATGTTATATAACTAATCAGCTACGTAGTTGTCGGAGCTCCATTGTATACATGTTATATAACTAATCAGCTACGTAGTTGTCGGAGCTCCATTGTATACATGTTATATAACTAATCAGCTACGTAGTTGTCGGAGCTCCATTGTATACATGTTATATAACTAATCAGCTACGTAGTTGTCGGAGCTCCATTGTATACATGTTATATAACTAATCAGCTACGTAGTTGTCGGAGCTCCATTGTATACATGTTATATAACTAATCAGCTACGTAGTTGTCGGAGCTCCATTGTATACATGTTATATAACTAATCAGCTACGTAGTTGTCGGAGCTCCATTGTATACATGTTATATAACTAATCAGCTACGTAGTTGTCGGAGCTCCATTGTATACATGTTATATAACTAATCAGCTACGTAGTTGTCGGAGCTCCATTGTATACATGTTATATAACTAATCAGCTACGTAGTTGTCGGAGCTCCATTGTATACATGTTATATAACTAATCAGCTACGTAGTTGTCGGAGCTCCATTGTATACATGTTATATAACTAATCAGCTACGTAGTTGTCGGAGCTCCATTGTATACATGTTATATAACTAATCAGCTACGTAGTTGTCGGAGCTCCATTGTATACATGTTATATAACTAATCAGCTACGTAGTTGTCGGAGCTCCATTGTATACATGTTATATAACTAATCAGCTACGTAGTTGTCGGAGCTCCATTGTATACATGTTATATAACTAATCAGCTACGTAGTTGTCGGAGCTCCATTGTATACATGTTATATAACTAATCAGCTACGTAGTTGTCGGAGCTCCATTGTATACATGTTATATAACTAATCAGCTACGTAGTTGTCGGAGCTCCATTGTATACATGTTATATAACTAATCAGCTACGTAGTTGTCGGAGCTCCATTGTATACATGTTATATAACTAATCAGCTACGTAGTTGTCGGAGCTCCATTGTATACATGTTATATAACTAATCAGCTACGTAGTTGTCGGAGCTCCATTGTATACATGTTATATAACTAATCAGCTACGTAGTTGTCGGAGCTCCATTGTATACATGTTATATAACTAATCAGCTACGTAGTTGTCGGAGCTCCATTGTATACATGTTATATAACTAATCAGCTACGTAGTTGTCGGAGCTCCATTGTATACATGTTATATAACTAATCAGCTACGTAGTTGTCGGAGCTCCATTGTATACATGTTATATAACTAATCAGCTACGTAGTTGTCGGAGCTCCATTGTATACATGTTATATAACTAATCAGCTACGTAGTTGTCGGAGCTCCATTGTATACATGTTATATAACTAATCAGCTACGTAGTTGTCGGAGCTCCATTGTATACATGTTATATAACTAGTCAGCTACGTAGTTGTCAGAGCTCCATTGTATACATGTTATATGACTAATCAGCTATGTAGTTGTCGGAACTTTATTGTTTACATGTTATATAACTAATCAGCTACGTTGTTGTCGGAGCTCCATTGTATACATCTTATATAACTAATCAGCTATGTACTTGTTGTAACTACATTGTATACATGTTATATAACTAACCAGCTATGTACTTGTCGTAACTCCATTGTATACATGTTATATAA